GTCGTTTAAAACGTTTCTGTCATTGGGGTGTTAGGCTGTATATTAGTATGTTATTTAAGCCTATATTCTCGTTTCAGTAGTGTTTTTATGACTTCCCTGAATGTTTTAATCATATGATCGATTATAATATTTTTTAATTTAAATAATCTGATTAAGTTTTTGAATTTTATTATACAATTAAAGCAACAACTCACCTCGTATAGTCCGGCTTCGATCAAATGATTAAAAATGAAATATTTTCTCAAGTTTTATTATAGTCACATTCAATTTTTTTTTCCGAGATAGAAAATAAGACAATAAACTGAATTTGTGGCTCTGGAAAAAAAAAATAAAAAGAATCCTTAAAGGATTGGCCTATTGACCAACCTTCATGTGGGTTTATTCACACACGCACATGCACGTACATTCACAGAACACAAATCTGGTTGGCAGGTCCTGTGGTCTCTTTAGACGACTCTGGTCACCTGAATTTGCAATTCGATTAAGTAAGTTTTTTCATGACCAAAAATCTCACACAAATGTGGAACAGAATTATTTAATGTAATTAAAAAATTTAAAAATTGAAAGAATTTTGTCGCTAAAAGTTGTTTATAGTTTTAAATTCAATCGATGATATTGTTATAAATATCTCAATGCTTTACAAACAAATAGATAAATCATTGGAAAAAATATAATTACACATTTTACATATCTAATAGTAATAAAATAGACTAAGATTCAAATCTTTCTTGTATTTTACACATATAATTATAATCATGAGAGTTATTATTAATAATGGTAATGATACTTTGGTCACTTTCTAAACTTGTAAGAATTATAAGCTGTTAAAGTACATCTATTAAAATCCAGTTACCCGTTAACATAGTATCAAAAATGTGCTAAATATGGACAGAGGCGGTTTGGGTTGGCGAGGTACCGGGAATTTCCAGGCAAACCGTTGTTAAAATGGCCTGCACCGAGATTATATTATTTTCTAAAGTATTACCAAATTTTAAAAGTGTTAAGAAAGAAAAAGCATCCTTGGGACAAGAGTTTATAGCTTATCCTTTTTGAACAAGTAAAGAGGATAGAAGCCCAGATTTTCCTATTAAACAGGAACTGTAAAAATTCCAAATGTCCGTGACGCCTGGTAAAAATTTAATATTTGACACCTCATAAAAGTGCATGAATAGGTGACAGGAAAATTTTGCAAATATAGGATAAATAAAATGACACATAGTTAACCAACACTTCTCATGTACCACCTGAATAGGACACAAATAATGTTTACAAGTATATAATTTAAAATGCAAGAGATTTTGTTATAAATAATAATTATTATATATTGAAACATCCTCATAATCAGCGTTTCTCAACCTTTTTGCCACACGACATAGCATTTCACCAGTTCCTCTCTTTGACCATTCCTCGTTCCTACCATTTCACGACGCACTAAAAATTTAAAGTAACACGAATTTTCTAAACATCATAGGTTGAGAAACGCTGCTCATAATCATAAAAAATGATTATATGATTATAATTATTATAAATGATACTCTAATAGTTAATTCTCATATACAGTTTAGTTTCAATTGTAACAAATATAATGAAAAGTACAGTGGTACCTCGCTTAACGACTTTTATCAGTTCCATAATTTCCGGATTTTTACTCGTTAAGCGAGTCATTTTTCTTACATATCATTTTGCTTGTTAAGCGAAATGCTCGTGAAGCGAGGTTCCACTGTATATCAGTAAATGCACTAATTATATTATATACAGGGGATCCTCGCTTAACGAGCATAATCCGTTTCAAAATTTCCGGATTTTTACTCGTATAGTGAAACAATTTTCCCCATATAAACAAATGTACTATACGATAATGCGTTCCATATTGCGAGTCATTTTTATTTTTTTCGTTAAGCGAGGTTCCACTGTATATGAACAAAAACAATAATTCGATCGGTGTAAGTTTGGTTGCATATATTATTAAAAATCAATATTTAAAGCAAACTGTCCTCATAAACTAAATGTATCATAGGATGTGAAAGCGTGTAGGAAGAAAGAAAAAGAAGAAACCGTTCTCGTAATGCACAAACAAATTTTCTATAATTTATTTTTGTTATTGCATTTATAAATCTATCAAATATCAATTAATTTATAGTATTAATTAGATCAAGTGCATTTCAGAAGATTATATTGAATTCCGAGGAACACATGTAACCGGGGAATCAAATATGAATCATTGTTTATATTAATTCTTATAATTGGATGTAATTGAATTTGCTTGATGATTATAAATTTAATTCAATGTACGAGGGGGAAATTGATGAGAAAGATGAGTCTCTTATAAAGATTGTATACATTTGGGACATGACGAAATACACTAAATTGAATATATTCGTTCACAAATATGTAATTATACAAATAAAACTTCAATGTCAACTTATATAATTTCAACATTTTATTATTTATTTGTTTGTTATTAAAAAATTTAAATTATATTGTTTTGCACAAATTTGTATTATGGAATTATTGAAATTTCTAGACATAAATGAAGCTAAGTTTTCAATATATGTAGGCAGAAGTTTATATTGAATAGTGGTGGGAGCGCGTATTATTGAAATGGCATTGAATCCGTTGAAATGAACTAAAGCCCGGATTATCCCAGTAAACTAAAGTTTGCTTAATTACGGTTGTTCCATGACACACGACCCCAATTATTACTCAAAATCATTGTGATTTAAATATTTGAAAGATTATTACTGTGATTAATGATATTTACTTTTGATTGTACGATTCATTGTTTTTATTTAAACATATTTTGTATTCACCATTTCTGCATTTTTGTTTACATTTAATAAATTTATTTATATTTAAATAATAATTATTTATATTTTAATAGCAAAATAAGCAAAATGCAAGAACATTACCGTTTTGCTTTCAAATAATAAATTGAAAACCCATTATTACGAATAAATGTGTATATGTTTTGAGTTGGCTTTATTTACCTCAGTTTTTGTTTAATTTAATATATTTCTAAAATAATAATTCATTATATTATTGCATTAAAGCAGAACAACCGAAATACTATAAATCAATATATAATAGTTTTATTTAATTTTTCTGCAATCAATTCAAGCAGATATGATGAAAGAAGATAATTTTATGAAGTGAGAGCACACTGTTTATATTTCTTTGATTTTACTTCAGATTTGCATCTTAGTAGCCATTATTTCAGTAAAATTAAGCAAACTTTCCGCTTATTGATATGAATCTCTTTAAATTAATAGTACTATAAAATCAACTATTTGTAAAAGATTGAATCTTCAAATTAAATTATAAAGAATACTTGAAATTTTATTAAATAAAAATAGAGGCAAATCTAAACTTTACATTATCATTACATACTCGTTGCCTTCAAAGCAATTTTCATTACTCATTTCAATGTTCTGTTTCATGACTATATTATAGTATGAGAAAAATCGCATTATTGACATTAATTGTTTGTTCGTTATAATGATATAACATTAAGAATCTTTAAATTAAACCATTGAACTGTAAGGTTTTTCTATAAATTGAATGAAATGTACAAACGAGACAGAAGAAAAGGCAAAAACAAACGTATATTAAATTGACTCTATATTTTGCTGAGTTTTTTTTTTATATTTTTGTGATACAATTATTTTAATTTTATATACTTTACGAGATGATATCAGTTTGGAAATCCACTTTAGTCATCAAATAGGTCGAGTAATACGTTTTTGTTATGATTATAATCCAATTTATTTGTAATTGATGTGTAAATATCTGTAATGTAACCTTAATGTTTTGTTTTTTAAACCATACATAGTAATTACAAATGATTCATTATGACATGTTAACTTTCGTTTTAAAATTGTACTGAAAACTGATAATATTTTGTTTTGTTAAGTAAAAAGTGATTTAAATTAGTCTTTCTTTCAACTATTTAGTAAGTCACTTCCGTAAAAATCTGGTTTATCATCATATTGTCAATTTTTAAGTAGTTTGGAACACTACGTAATATGTGTCAATTATTTGTTCTCTTATGTAATAGTAATATTATTGTTAATACTTATGAATACATTTCTTTCAAATCGATGAAAATTTTAACAAAATAATGTCAATAGTTGTTAACAAATACACCTTAAATTTAAATAGTTTTATAAGGAATGTGATAATAAATTTTATAATCGAATATATTTATTAAACAAAACATAAATTTATACATTGCCTGACAAACTTTTCTTTAAAAAAAATTGTTTGTTATTGAAAATACACTAACCTTTAATATTTTATTATTTCTTTTATATTTGAATATCAGTTTTGTACTGAGAATACTATTTTCATAATATAATTCGACCTTCATTTTTCCGCCTGGGAAATCTAATGTAATTTGTTGGTAAAATTATAAAAATATAACTAATTACATCAAACTTTAAACAATAATACTTTATAAAATTAAACGCTTCTAATTAAACATTTGAAAGGAAATTAATCATGATATATTTTAGTCTTTTGTATTGCTTTTGGTTTTATGAATGAATAACTCGTTCTAGAAGCATGTTTCGAGTTATTAAGAGTGTTTAACTTTAGTAATCTGTGAAATCCGAGTATTTTAATAAACTTATTGTTTATAATTCCGTAGCTATGCATCCCACTAATTGATCCTAGGTCGTTAAGAATGAGGTGTGAAATCTTGTAATTTCCTTCGTTGTTCCACAGACGATCGGTAGCTAGTGTTAATTTCTTGGGGAGGTAATGATCCGGAAATACGATATCAATTGTTCTTAGGTCTTAGAAGTAGGTTGCGGACGTCGTGGTTTTGTTTATGTTTGTCGGCTCTGATTGATGCGCGTTCGGAGTTGGATTCGGTGGAAAATTATGCAGAACCTCCCTAACAAACTTACCCTACTCGATTTTATGGCATCACAATGGCCCCCAAGTCGATGCACTTCGTTCCATGCTCAAAGCCGACTCCTCCAGTCTGAGGTCCCCTCGAGTTTTTGTTAGTTGTGCTGCAGACGTGAGAGTGCGTGCAAGTGCGAAGTGAGACCGACCCGACCGTCCGTACTCCATGTGCTCATACAGTGTGCTGTTTGCCTGTGCCTATGCGTGTTTCCATCCATCAAAAACGAACGAAAAACTAAAATAAATAAATAAAAAGCGAGAGGAATAATATACATATATATTATAAAAACTGGATAAAATGTGAATTTAGGTGCGCGCTACGAATACGAAAATCCATAAAATTCACACGCTCACTATTCGCTTGAATTTTTTTAGTTTATGTTTTTATTATTTTGGTGTTTCATTTAATGTTATTATTATTAAATGCACACCAAACTAGATGAAAAGTGAAAACCGCGAAGCTGCGAAGTAATATAATAACGGTGAATCTCGAGTTCAGTGTGTATTTATATTTCCTTATAAACATAAACCGAATGGTGATTTTTGTTGTTACGGACTAGCCTAAGGAAAAACTTTGATATATCACCAAGCAATATTAAAGGTAATTTAAATTTGAAATTTATCGCACGATTCTCTTTTGCATTTAAATAATGCGCTTTCTACCTTTTCGTGTTTTCGCCTCTTATTATATTTGCACTTTTGTTTTGCTTCCTTTCGCGTTTGTTTATTTTAATAAATAAAAAAGTAGAAGTATATAAGAAAGGAGTCCAGAATATTTTATCCTTGCCTCTGTTGTCTGATGCGAGAGCATCAAAAGTAGAATGAAAAAGAAGCAATTTCCGTGTCAATGGTCTCGTAAAACTGGATTAAATTATATGTCCTCTCTACTCCTCGGCCATTGGCGAAAACTCTAGTATTATTATTTTCTGCACGGAATTTAGATCATGCAATTACGAAAACGTAGTTTTATAATTTAAAAATATAACTAAAAATTAAAGATTGTACAAAAAAACAGACAAATGTTTATATTTCTTTTCAAAATTTTAAGATCTATTGGAAATTCAGAATAAAATCTATAAAAGTTATCAGTATATTTATTATTTATAAAAACTTGAATAATCTAGAAGTTAAAAAAAATAAATTAAGCATATTTATTACTATAATATCCTGAAAAATTTACTTAATCTTGTTTTCATTCCAGCTACAATATTACCTGAATTTGAACATACTGTTTTATAACTTAATTTTTTTAACGTTAAAATAATAAATCTACCTTAATTTGGTTCTTGATATACCGAAACAATGTTTGGATTTGATATTATTACGACTTTAAGTAAAAAAATAAGTTTTTTATTGCAGTTTTACATATTAGACTATCAAAAACTGGTTTATGTAAAATTAAAAAACTGTACTCGTGTTTTACAAATGTATCCAAAAAGAAAATGTATTTTTAAAACCGGTTACAAAAAACCGTCAAATCCTAGTGAGAATGTTCAGAAATGATAGGAATGCTCTAAATATAAATGCATCTCGAACCCTAAGAGCGCGTGTTAGTAGTAATTCGCACTCTGATGGCTTTTACGTGTATCACCCAATATGATTTTCCGAAGACGCTAGACTGAATAAAGCGCGCAAAAATGTATCCATTAATATAATGTTGTTTCGTCTAAGTATCTTCTACAAAATGGTACTACCGTCCGTTCTGAATCAAATGGTGTATTATATTTAGTGGATGAGGGAGGCTAAATGTCTGCTTATCACGTGAGGTTACGCCAAATCGATATGCAGCAATTATAGTAACATATGTTTTAGGTTTTCGAGCTTTGGGGAATTGCCCTCAGATAATGTTAGCTTTTTGCCTGAGCTAAGCTTTTTAATCTCAATTAAATAATGCCTTAATCTGATCCGGCCGTTACTCACGGGTTTTCTCCCTTTATACTTTATAGATTCCGTGTTCGAATATGCAATATTATTACACAACCGATCTAACGTTTATGATACCCAGTTTAATGCATTGCTAATTCCACATCATTAATATCGCCGCATGCGTTTGTTACCATTTGCAAATTCCATGTCATCAAGCTCTCGAACCGCGATCAAAATCAATTCCTATGTTAATAAATACCATAGTTTCAGTCGTACAGGTACGTCGCTTGTATAACGAATATAATCTTATTTACTAATGAAGTTAACAGTTCTGTATTTATTCAGAGATGGAAATCTTATACTGTAAAACTAGCCATCATATTTAAATATTTATCAAATACTTAACACGTTTCTATTTGCTGGTTGTTATTTGTTCAGCTCACACTTCATTTGCAGACTGGATTTTCAATATGCTGCATGCTGAAAATTATTTATAATGACAAAATAATTTTCAATATTTACCTAAATGAACGTTCTAGTAAATGTGCAAAAGAAAAAGAAAAGGATCTAATAAGTTTATTTAAAACTATGTATATAGTATGGCTCGGAGTTTTCATCCGAATTGGAAATAAGTAGTAGTATCACTTTCACTATTTCTCGTTATTCTCGTTTCCGTGAATGTTTCGCTTCTTTTTCTCAGGTAGACCGACCATTCCGTGAAGAGAAAAATATAAAACGTGAACACAGTTTTGCCTCTCGACAAACCACCGCTCGCTTTATGAGTTTAACACTTCAACCTCTTCATCGTGATTAACGTTCGCAATGCATATGACAAAGGTTTCAAGCTTTTCTACTGCAGCTCTCAGAACTCCACAGTAACACCCAATCTTGACAATCGTCATATCACATCAGAATCTCACAGTTTCAGTCAACCTTTTTTTAACTTAAGTATTTCTACTTCTAATTTTAATAAAAACTGCCCCAAATACAGCTCTTTCAAATATTTTTATGAGAAAGAAATTAGTATACAAAATAATATATTTCGAACGAATGCTTTAAAAACGTTCACAATAATTGTAAACAAGAAAAATCATCCTCTTGTAGATTGATTTTCAACTGGAAAACGAATCTAAAAAAATATCATTTAGCGTGAAACAAAATTCGTATATAATACGCACCTTTAACTTTTCAAAATTAAAATACATAAAACATTTGCTAATGTAAATTTAATAAAATGAAACTCTCTTAATCTATTGCACATCTCACTTTTGTAGGCGTATTATACACGATAATTATAAAAATTAATAAGTAACTACATAGAAAGTATTATTTAAAAAAAAAGTGTAATATTCAATTATTCAAATTACATTTCCTCAATTTATTCACTATTTTGTTCTGACACATAATAAGTTAACGAAATCCTTAATTACATTTTAAGAAACCCATTGGCCTTCCTTTGTTTGGAATTAAGCCAGGGAGGATTTGCATAATCACTTTGGAGATGCTTTGCAAAACAAAAAAAAAGAAGAGGAAGCGAGTTGGATGTTCTCGTTTACGCTTTTCGATGGGATGGCAAACATTGACTATAAATTCGCTAACCGGAGCACCGCATTAATTAATTAAGTCTGAAAACAAACCGTATTGACCTTTCACTCATAATTGCGTAAATTTCCATTGCAAATAGTGTATTGGCTTCCAGCTGCTTCTTTTATTTTTGCATGGCACAGCATGAAAACATCCAGCGGATTCAGCTCGAACAAAGCACGTTCTTCAAGAACTTTCTTCCAGCCTTGGTGATAGTATCGAGTTTGATTGTTGCTCTCGCGATAAAAATAGAACGGTATCGTGATTTATTTAATTCATTCTTCTTATATATTTTTTTATGTATATATAAACAAACGGTTTTCTTGTTTGCGGCAGCAGAATGATATTTCTTCCAGCGATTATAGTGATAATGCATTCTGGGAAGAAGGATGGAGAAGCACTTATCAAGCGGATTTGATAATGGAGAGTCTGTTGGGATGAAGCGGGAAAATATTGAATGGAGCATAAAATGCTATCGTCCAACTGTTAATTGAATCAGTCGAAGATAAAATAGATATCAATTTCTGGAGTGTGTGCTTAGAAATTTAATCCGGATCCATAGCGAAGTGGAGGAAATTACGTTTTTAATAGTGTACAAAGTTTTTGAAGCAAAAGTGTTTGGAATACGCAATGCATTGTGATGAAAATATGTAATATAAACTCGTTTAATCCTATATTAAATGAAATGACAATGGGAAGTTGAAATGATGAATATATTAAGTATATGCCCGCATTTGTTAGAAGGTATTTTTTAAATTATCCATCTATTCTTTAACTGTGTGTTTGAGAAAATTTATAAAATGTTGATGTTCAATTCGTGAAATTTTACGCTCATATTTTTTTTTTAAGATATTATTTTAAATTGGATTTGTTAATAAAACAGATATCAATTTCTCCAGTGTGTGCTTAGAAAATTTAATCCGAATCCATACCGTTCGTTGGAAATGGAGGAAGTTATGTTTTTAATAGCGAAAAAGTTTTTGCTGCAAAAGTGTTTGGAATACGAAATGCGGGGTGGAGAAAAAAATAACGCGAAGGGTGGTAGGTAGGTACAGCTGAGTTTTGAAATATGTTTCCGTCGAGATGATGTCATTTGTGCGGTTGAAGAAATTACGACGGTGCTGTACTAAAATTCATGCCTGGGATGGTATAATCCAGGTATATATAGAGAGAGGGTGGTATGTACAGAATTCCAGGTGAACAAAAAGCAGCAAGCTGCTTTCTTGTCCTGCCTTTCTCTCTCTATCTCTCTCTCTCTCTCATACTCACACATTCTCCTATATGCCACACTATCTCACTTTACCCTCACACAAACGCATTGGATGTTGGAAGGAGGAAGGAGCCCACATTTCAATGTTCCGCATTGTGTTGTTGCCTACGAAAATCAATAGGCCGTAACTGAAAGATTCTGCAATATCGACACTTCGCCTGATTTTTTACGGCCTGCTGCATAATATATTATTATATCCAGGGAAAAGTAACGGACACAATACCAGCGGAATATATTTCACGTATTCCCCGGTATTGCCGAACTTTTTCTAATCCCAGCAACTCGAAGAACTCTACCTACGCCCGATGCACTTCCAAATTCACTACTTACTTTTTTATTTGCATTACAATATATTCATTTAAAAAAATAATAAATTCACAATAATAATAACAACGTATATTGCAACAAACATAGAATTACAACATTCATTACAAATAAATTAACTTTTACTCAAAATATTTTTAAATATGTTACAAAAAAATCCATACAATCATTATCATTACATAAATAACTTATTATAGATAGTTTTACTCAATTTTCATTGTTTACTTACTTTTTAAATTAATGTATTTTCTCGCAAAAAAATAATTCAATGTTATATCTATATATATGTTTTTCTCAAAATATATTTTTAAATTAATTCTGTTATTTTTTCTGATTATTATTCAGTATATTATGTAATTGATTTGAAGTTCTTTTATGCTTTGAAATGTGATTGACGGATTTACTTATTAATATTTGCAATTTTGAATATATGAATATATTTAGCTGTAATCGTGTTGTAGTTCATGGGAGGTTTTCAGCTTGTTCAGGTAAATGTTATAGGCTCGTAAATTTAGATCAATTACGAGACGTGATTATATTGAGGACTATTAGAAGAT